CGGGTTGCTGGGTCAGGGCAGCTTGCGGGCCTCGGGTTCTTTGTCTTGGCGTCCTCCCGGACTCACCGTGAACCAACGGGCTGCACGTAATCTGTGTATCACTGAATTCGCAAGCTCCGGCTGCGTGCGTGGCTGCTCTGTATATACAGGATAAGTATATGCAGAATTCTGTACAGAGTATGTATACGATGGAGAAATTCTCATTTTGATTCTTTGTGTAATGGCCGTAATAAATGAAGCATCGTGCCCAAATATTATTTGAGAGCCTAAGAAGAGCTTCTTAACGTAATAAAACATGAGTATACACACGAATCGGCTAAAATGTGTCAGCTTAATTTTTTTACTTTCATGATTTCCGTGAAAAAAATACAATTACGTGAAATGTTGATGTGGCACTTGGTATTTTACCAGCTCTGTGTTTGAATTTTTTCACTTAGTCAGAAAGCCACAACGCAGGTAATAGCTCCATTAACCCAGACATTCAAGTTACTCATAAGTATCGCATAAACCAAAGCGAGAGCACATCAGTTAGTACCATGTTACCCGTTTATCTGAAACAGGTTAACTTTGTAGACACGCATGACTCCGTTTCATTTGCAGATTGCCATGAATTAGCAAATCAACCTTGTACCGCTTTGTCAGCACTGCCCTTGTACACGATGGAGTGTGTGAAAGCTACAGCACCAATATCCAGCCCAGCACTTACCCTTCAGGTCCCTCTGTTCCACTCAGCACCACCGAGTGACCTGTTCCTGTGCCATTTGCTACATTCACATTTCGTGGGTCTCCAGTTACTCCCGTGTGGCTGTTCTCTCCACTCAGCACCTGCTCTTTTTCAGAGTAGTCTCTGAATTTGACCATTAATTCCTTTGGTATTCTCTTTGGTTAGCTATATTTATGACTACGTTTGCCTGACTTTTTAATAATTTCTGAGTGACATGCTACTCTTGTGCCTATCCATGTCGTGCTTAACTTAATTGCAACTTCTGTGATAACTCCTTATAACCTTCTCAGTTTTTCCAGCCTCCAGAGATACTGTTTTTACTAATGCGCACCAGCTGCCAGCAAGTGCCCTGACAGAAACTCCAGGCTTTTGGAAGTACCAGTGAAAACAAATCCTTTTTGGATGAGGTCAGACTTCAGCAGGTAGGATTCAGTCCAGTAAGCTTTTAGATACTTCCAGCTCCTCAAGAAATCAAGGAGGAGTGAAGACATACAGCATCTCTGAAAGCGCCCTAAGCTCTTTTTATTATTAGGTCATTAAACTTCCATAGGATTTCTTGTTATCCCAAGGAGAAAACATTGGGAATTGTGCCCTACCTCAGCAAAGTGTTTAAGCATGGGCTTACGCTCAAGCTTTCAGCTAAGTTATTCCTTGCCATAAAAAGTAATTAAGCAGATGAACAAAATGAGTTTGTTAAGTAAAAGTCTTATCATTTTAAAACGCGGGCCTGCATGAAGCATTGCAGTTGTGGTACTTTATATCTGATTAAAATGCTCTAGAATGCTTCGATTTTCTACTTCATTAATTTTTTTAACTTCACTGTAAATCTTAGCAAAAATAAGTAAACATCTAAAATGGAATGGTTTGGCCAAGTGTATTACAAATAAATTAATGTGAATAGTACAGGAGACTGTGGCAATTTGAGCTGCAGTCACAATTCACTCAAATATAAGGACTGTTAAAATACATCTTCACTCATCTTGTTCAGTCCAGCAGAAAGGTCAAAAGGTAAAATGACTTCTCTGCATGAATAAACTAGACAATGTAGCTGAAAATAGAGATTTTAACTACAAATGGCATTTTGAGCCTTTGAGTACCAGCAGCCATGTCATTAGAAAGTGACACAGTGTCAGGCACTATAAAAGAAGCTCCATCTTACACCCAAATTGAAGTAAAATTACAAGACCTGGGCCCAGTGTTTAAATATAGAGATATATATATATTTATTTTTTTAACCAGTTTTAACCTGATTATTGAAACTGTTAGAACAAATTAGAGCGTTAGTATACTGGCCTCCTAAATATCTTTATGGCATGATTGCTGCTAGCAATCCAAGTAGCCATTAACAAGTCCAAGTACCATTTTCCTCTACAATAACTTGTGTTTTCCAGACAGAAGGCTGTTTGACATCCTTTGATCCTTCAGGCTGCTTAGCTGAGCGAGATAGATTTTTCTCTTCAGTTTCAAATATTTTAGTAGATTATTGCCACTCTGTTGGCTGTCACTTCAGGTTATATCACCCTGTCCCCATCTGAGTGCCTATATTGCTGCAAGTAAATTGTAGCACGTCAAGAAAGACCAGATCACTAATTACAATGCAAAAAAAAAAAAAAAAAAAAAAAAAGAGAGACCATAATAAAGTGACATCTGTTCTACTGGTGACATGCTAATGTCATACAGATTGAATGTGACAATGCAAAGAACAACATTAATCATGATAGCCAAATAAAAATGTAAAATAAATATATCCCATAGATTGCCAGCACTGAAGAAGCTGCTTCTTTATAAGAGATGTAAAACCAAGAAATCCTAGTTCTTTGAGTCTAATGGTTTATCTTACAATCCTTTATTTATTTCGGAAAATTAAAGTAATAAAAAAATCATGGAAGTTTTCTGTGCAAGGATGAGGCAAACTAAAATGGTGTAAGATACATTTTCCCATCCACTGAAGGCATGTTCTGGAAAAGGCTACAGAGAGAACATTTAACCGGAGGATACATCCTGTCCATCACTCATTACTGCAAAAGCTTTTGTACATTTGTCTGCCTGGAAAAGATTAAGCAAAGCCCTTTACTAAAGAAGTGGAAAGACAAAAAGAAATAGGTGTATTAAAAAAACAAAGAACAAAAGTATCGCTTTTTCATACACTCAGGACACTTGGCAGTGTTATAAAATGTTCTGATTTAATCAGTGCTTCTTCATGTTCCAACTCCTGCTGCTAAGGGCCAGACCCTGCCCAGCTTCCCTCGTCTCTAGTGTGCCTGGAGGATTAGAAGCAAAGGAGATGAGATATGTTATGTCATTCTTAGGCCTCTGTGGCCTCAATAGTGCATCACTGTGCAAACCTAAGACCTTTTTTTCTACCGTTAGGAGTTGTCCAACTACACATTTAAGGAAGATTTACAGCAGCACCGTTAATCATGATAGAAAAACATAAGGAGACAGCTGAAAATTTTTAAATATTCTGAACATAAATTCAGACATCCATCTGGGGACATGTAGAGTTACAGGTCTATTCTTCAGATGAACTACAGCTATGTTGAATAAGTACCCATTTTCTACTGAAGGTTTTGATAAAAACCATAGGCTATTTTCATTTGTAATTTAGGTCTTTCCCTCTGAGATTTACAAGGTCACTGACTAAAAGATACAGCCATGTTCTTCAGTTTCCATC